GTGTGTGTGTGTGTGTGTGTGTGTGTGTGTGTGTGTGTGTGTGTGTGTGTGGTTTGTGCATGTACAGGTGTGTTTGCACATGTGTACAGGAACATGGGGAAGCTAACAGTCAACCTTGACCATTGTTCCTCAGGTACTGTCACCCTTGGTTTATCTTTTGGGGTTTTTTTTGGGGGGGGTTACATTTATTTGTCCATCATGCATGCTCATGTACACATACATGCACATACTAAGTTCTGTCTGGAGATCAGAACACAGCTTGGGGAAGTCAGTCTCACCTTCCACCGCGAGATTCCAGAGATCAAACAAGCCGTCTTCCCAGGCCTGCCTCGCTGTCTTCTGAGACAGGCCTCTAACTGGGACCTAGGGCTCCCTGTTAGGCTAATCTGTCCCACCAGTGCACCCCAGAGACCCGTCTGTCTTTGCCTCCCCAGGGCTGGGAATGTGCACCACCATGCCCTGCTCTTTTTTCTGCCGGATCCGGGAATTGAACTCTGGTCCTTTGGTTTGCAAGGCAGACACTTTACTGACTGAGCCGTCTCCCTCACCCCTACTTAAAGACTCATTTTTTCAGTACTAGAGATAGAAACCAGGGCCTCACCCATACTAGGCAGACTCTACCAGACTTCTTCTGTCCTGTGTGTCGATGAGGTTTGTCCCCGGGTGTAGGGGTGGGTGTAGAACTGTTTCCCGGTGGAAGTTAAGGGAGGGAGGTCGGGTTGGTAGGTCGGGAGCTCCAGTGTGTTCCCTCTGTTCCCCTAGGGTTTCTGTTCCTGGCTGACAGCCATCTTCAGGATAAAGTAAGTGGATGGTCTGCGCACTCTAAAGAGAAACAGAGAAAAACCTCAGAACCTGTCATCTCCCTCCAAAATCAAGGCCAGCAGCTTTGAGGGCCTTAGTGCTCCTGGCCACTGCAGTACCCCGAGCCCTACTCCAAGAGGCCAAGCAATGGGGGTCTAGCCTGTGCTGGCCCCCGAGTGCTTATTCTGACCCATCATCTCCTCTGTGGCACTCTGCTCGAGGCCAGCCATGCCCTGGCCTACCAGCCCTGGCCACAGCTTGAGAGCAGAGGCCGGAGCCTCCACCTCGGCCTCTCAGCAGCCAGCGAGCGGGTAGGGGCAGCAGGCAGGCTGGAAGCAGCCAGCCAGCCGCAGGCAGGAGCCAGCAGCCAGCAAGGCAGAACTCAGGAGATCCAGCCAGAGTCCACAGGCAGGCAGTGAGCGCTGAGAAAGGCAGGAAGCTGGGACAGGTCAGCACCGGGCCCCTCCCCGTGCTCTGGGCCCCTCCCCTAGGAGCTCAGCCCTGGGACCCTTACGGAGCTGCCGCTGCCCCGCGCCCAGCCTCCGTCCCACAACATCCCGACTTCTTGCCTCCCGTTCCCGTTTTCCCTCTTCCTGTCCTGTTCTCTCCCTCTGACCTTGCCCCCTCTTTCTCTCACGTCTCTTTTGCTGGCCACTTCCGGGCTCTGAGCATTCCTCCTCCTTTCTTCCTCCCCTCCCAGGAAATCGGGAGGAAAAGTTCCATCACAGCCCCATTGCTGCCCCACCAGCAGGGGTGGCCGGGGTGGGGGTGGGGGTGGCAGGTTCCAGCCTCGCCTGCCTCGGCTGCTGCTCACCAGCCTCTCCCGTCTGCCTCCTGTGGTCTGCAGGGATGACGAGATCCGGGACAAGTGCGGGGGCGACGCTGTGCACTACTTGTCCTTCCAGAGACACATCATCGGGCTGCTGGTCGTCGTGGGCGTCCTCTCCGTGGGCATCGTACTGCCTGTCAACTTCTCAGGGGACCTGCTCGGTCAGTGAGGGCCGGGGGGCTGGAGTGGGAGGGGGCGGAAGGGCATCCGTGCCGGCCGACCCTACCGCCATCCGTGCCGACCCTACCGCCATCCCCTTCTCCTTCCCGCCTTCCAGAGAACAATGCCTACAGCTTCGGGAGAACCACCATTGCCAACTTGAAATCAGGGTGAGGCTGGGGTCTGGGGTGGAAGGAAGCCAGAGATGGGAGGCTTCAGAGACGCATGGACACACGGAGGTAGACGCTGCTGACTGAGGACCCCACGTGACCCTCTGCCGCCCACAGGAATAATCTCCTCTGGCTGCACACCTCCTTTGCTTTCCTGTACCTGCTGCTCACCGTCTACAGCATGCGGAGACACACCTCTAAGATGCGCTACAAGGAGGACGACCTGGTGAGGAAGTGCGGCCCCGGGGCTGCAGCGGTGGAGCGGGGCCGCTGGGTGGAGCGGGCGGCTGGGTGGAGCGGGGCCGCTGGGTGGAGAGGGCTGCCGGGTTCCCTCCAAGTGGGATGAGCGCACCTCTCCAGGGATCCTAGGAAGGGACTGCCTGGGCCTCCCCATGCTGAGCCCGGCCCTTGGGCAATGGCCCTGGCTGGTAGTGCTGCCAGATGGTTGTATTGTCGTCTTGCTTGATATGGATGGTAGGAATATCCCTTCACCTTCTACTGCCATTCACCCGGCCTGCACCAAATGTCTGTGCTTCGTTAGCCACTGTGCTAGGTCCTCCGGGGTCTAAGTGTCCAGCCATCTGGTGACCCCTGCAACCCCTCACAGAACAAGACACCTCTTGGCTCTTCCGTCAGGCTTCTATTACCAACACTCCACTGAGACCTGACAAAGTCCTGAGGCCTGTTCCCACCCACCTGCCCCTCTGCTCACCCCACCCCCAGCCCCTCCCTGCGTCCTCTGGCTCTCCTGGAGCCTACCTTCCTGCAGGAAGACAAGTCTGTCCTCTTCCACAGGTCAAACGGACTCTCTTCATCAATGGAATCTCCAAATATGCAGAGTCAGAAAAAATCAAGAAGCATTTTGAGTGAGTAAGCAGCCCACCCCACCTCAGGCATGCAGACCCTTGCCCGCCCGTTAGCCCCAAGGACATCTGTGCACCCTTGAGTCATACTCAGTGGTTGGCAGCACAGGTTGAGAGGAGCAGACTGGGGGAAGACCTCACGTCCCAACCTGGGCTGGTCTCCCACTTTCCTGAGTGACAGCCTCTTCAGAACTGGACAGAGCTGAGGGGTCACTCAGAGTCACCCGTGGCCTTGGGTTTGATCCCCAGCCTTTCAAAAAAAAAAATTAGTAAATGAAAGAAATAAGATGGAATCCTGAAGAGTGCAGCCTGTGACATTTATTTCCTCCACTCCGCGCCCCCCGCACCCCCCCCACACTCCTGGCTTGGACTGGGTCATAGGTAGTTGGCCCAGGAGCCGGAGGTGGCCGCTTCTTCGGAATTATTAGCAGCATTTACTTGGTGCATATGCAGACTTTGTGGGAAAGCTCATGGGCTGTGAGTGGCTTCTGAGGAGGTTGGCCTGTGTTCCCTCAGCTTCTTTGGCTCTTCGGTTCAGGCACCTGGACAGGCACCTTGGTGCTGAACTCATGGTGTAGAGAGTCAAGGGCTGCCAGTCGTGGTGGCGCACACCTTTAATCCCAGCACTAGGGAGGCAGAGGCAGGTGGATCTCTGTGAGTTCGAGGCCAGCCTGGTCTACAGAGCGAGTTCCAGGACAGCCAGGGCTACACAGAGAAACTGTCTCAAACAAAAACAAACAAACAAAAGAGTTAAGAGCCCAGCTGTAAGGGTCTAGAGGGACAGTCTGCAGCAGGATTAGAGGTAATGTCACACTTTTATTTATTTATTTCCAAAGATGAACGAACAGTCATCCAGCTCAAAGGTCACACCATGGAGACCAGCTATAGCAGTTAGTCAGGGGTCTGAACTGAGATTGGTTCAAATCAATCTGTGACCCAAATTAGGAACCAGCAAGTGTCCATGACAAGGGACAAGTCAATCTGCGACCCAGATTAGGAACCGCCCAGTGGTTGTGACAAGGAACGTTGGTCTGGGTCCAAGCTCAGGCTTCAGGCAGAATCAGGGCTTTTTCTTTCTTTTCTTTTTTAAATTTTACTTATTTTATGTGTATGGGTATTTTGACTGTGTACCGTGTGGGCACAGTGCCTGTGGAAACCAGAGAGAGAGAGAAACAGTTCCCCCGGGGCTAGAGTTACAGATGGTTTGAGTAGCTGTGTGATTACTGGCGATCAACTCGGGTCCTCTGGAAGAGGACCAGTTCTCTTTGGCCCCAGCCATCCCCCAGCCCCAGGTCTATTCCTGGGGTCCGGGTCTGCTGTCATTGTCCTGGGCTGGTCAGTATGTCGTCCTGTCAGCAGTATTGTCTGAGCAGGTTTGGAGGCCACATTCCAGAGCCTTCTACAGGGTATAAGGTACAGAGATCCAGAGCTAGACACACACACACACACACACACACACACATTGAATATCTGTGTGCAGGCATAGAAATGTTAGCAGTAAGGCCTGCCCTTCTGCAGCTTACGAAATAGGGTAAGAGAAGTATGTGGGGTTCAACCTTTTATCAGCATGGGGCGCTCTAGGTTGAGGTCCAGTGTGTGCTCAGGATCAAGGGACATTTTGTCCACTTGGACAATTGTCAGCTTGCGTTGACATGTCCTGATGCAGACCACTAGTGAGCCATGGGCCTGCCCCGGGTGAGGGCTCAGCATATAGCAGTAAACAAGCCCAGCCATTTTCCTTTCATTAGTCCTGGGAGTCAGTGGAGACAAGCTGCTCTAAACACCTCACGTTGCAGTGGTGCTAAGGTGCCATCCGGAGCAGGGAAGGGGGACATGTCAAAGTGACCCTCCCAGGGTGGCATTTGACAGACCTGAGCGCAGCGAAGGAGTGTACCCTCCTGGTCACCTCCGCTATTCTGCTATGTGCTGTGGGAGGCAGAAAGCCAGACTAGATTGACAGGTCCTGGCTGAGCTGCTTCAGGGTTGGTCTAGGAAAGAGCCTGTGGTTAGAGTTCATGCTCACTCACAAAGGAGGTGTGAAGAGAATCTAGTCTTTATTGGACGGCTTTCCGTGGGCTGAACATATGAAATCCGACTTTCACCCACCTGTCCACTCAGCCTGCCTTGTTGAGCACTTACTGTGGGGGGGCTGTCGGACAGGACCTTGTATGTGATGATGATTAGGAGATAGCTGTGGTCCACACTGAGCTGAGCGGTCATCCGTGTTCACTGAGGCTCGTGGTCCAGGTCTAAGGACCGTGTGGACTAGAGGACTGCCCCAGAAGAGGTAGAGAACATCCTTTGTGTAGAATCACCGAGCCTGTCTGGTTAGCTTTAAAGGATTTGCCATGAGCCTGGCAAGGGTGAGCGCTTGCTCTCCCAAAGAGGAAGCCTACAGCATCTTAAAGAGCTGTGAAGGGGAGAGCTGTGGCCACCTGCGAGCTCATTTTCAAGGACCCGGAGCCAGATGTGAGTTTGTGAAGTTCATCTTGCTGTGGTGGAACTTTATCACACGTGTCTCAAATATTTGGTGGCCCTTCGTTTAATTTTAATAAGATATCAGAAAATGGAAACAGTCAAGATTAAGGACTGGATCAGTTTGCAGTCATGTGGGAAGGACCCTGCTTGGTGGATCAGCAAGCATTTTGTGAATGCTCTCTGGAACCACGTGCCAGTGGGTCAGGGCAGCTGGCCCTAGCATTCCATCTCAGGTTGGGGGGAGGGGTCAGCCCTGGGCCTGGGTCATGGCCAGGGTTAGAGATCAGATTCAGGATCGGTTTCTTGTTGGTCTTGGGCCAAGATTGGTTGTAGAAAATCCAAACTCAAGGCCAAGTGTTGGATCAGGACCAGGGCTTCCGGGAACAGGGCTCAGAGAACAGCCTGTGACTAGAAACAGTTTCTCTGAACCTCAAGTTCACAGCCCTGGGCAAGAATCAGACCAAAGCCCTGGCCTCCCCAGTTCCACACAATGGTGTCCTCACACATCCTGGGTTATTGTCACCTCCTGCCTTTCGAGAGTCTGAAGGCATACCTGCACCCCGCCCCCACTCACATAACATGAGGAAGTTATTTTCAAAGTTCTGTTCTTTTTGTCTGTGTATTTTTCAAGACAGGGTTTCTCTGTGTAACCCTGGCTGTCCTGGAACTGCCTTTGTAGACCAGGCTGGCCTCAAACTTACAGAGATCCACCTGCCTCTGCCTCCTGAATGCTGGGATTAAAGGTGTGCACCACCATCGCCAGATGATTTCTTTCTTTTTTTTTTTTTTTTCCTTCTGAAGTTCTATTCTTGAGAGCTGTAGACTAAGATGGGGGTGAGCTGGGGATGTGTTGATGTGGGGGAACCCTGGATGAAAGCAAGGGTAGGCAGTGAGGGGCCCTGCAGAGTATGACGGCTGGACTGTGTTTCAGGGAGGCCTACCCCAACTGCACGGTGCTGGAAGCCCGGCCCTGTTACAACGTGGCTCGTCTTATGTTCCTTGATGCCGAGAGGTACTGGGTTGGGGTCGGGGAGGATGACACCAGGGGCCCTCTGCTCATCATGGAGGGAATCTTGGCCACCTTGTGGGATCCTGGCTCCCTTTTAGGATGTTCCCTTGTGTGCTTTGAATGTGACTCAACCTCGGGAGTCTCTGTTACTTCCAAGGCCTGGGGCTTAGAGTGTGTTGCAAGAGGGAGGGGGTCTGTGGCCCTCACGTCTGAGGACTGACCCTCTTAAGCTACAGTACAAGAAATTTATGGCAGACTAGCAAAAGAATTGGCCCTCCAGAAATGGACAAGGAAATCCTTGGATGGGATTATTGCTGAGCCATATTGGCTAAACAAACCCCGGAAAGGTCCCTTGGGGACCTGAATTTTGTCCACTCCCAACCCCTTTGCATCTGAGAAAATTTTACATGGCCTCAGGTTTGTAGGTATATAAATAGGAGTACAAGTCAAACATTTACTGATTATAAGTCATAAATGTATTTTAGCTGGTGATTGTTGTATGCACCTTTAATCCCAGCACTTGAGAGGCAGAGATAGGCAGATCTCTGAATTTGAGGCCAGCCTGGTCTACAGAGCTATTTCTAGGACATCCAAAGCTATACCGAGAAACCCTGTTTTGAAAAAAAGCAAAAACAAAAACAAAAAAGGAAGAAAGAGCCAGGCAGTGGTGGTGGACACCTTTAATCCCAGCACTCGGGAGGCAGAGACAGGCGAATCTCTGTGAGTTCCAGGCCAGCCTCATCTACAAAGTGAGATCCAGGACAGCCAGAGCTACACAGAGAAACCCCGTCTTGAAAAACCAAAAAGAAAGAAAGAAACTTAAGACAATTCTTGGGGTTGGAGGGTTGGAGGGCTAGCTCAAAAAACTTGCCTTACAAGACACTCAGTCCCCAGAAGCCATATTTTATAAAGGTGTCACGTCACAGCACACACGGGTAACTCTAGTGTTGGTGAGGCAAAGACAAGAGACCCTGCCTCCAAGGAGGTGGATGCCAGAGTGACAGTGGTGCCCGGGTTATCCTCTGTGTGCGTGCGTGCGTGCGTGCGTGCGTGCGTGCGTGCGTGTGTGCGTGTGCATGTGCGCACACACACTCATTTTAAAAAATTCCTTGGTCCTTATATAATCCTATCACTTATTATTTAATGAAAAGACTGGGCTGGGAAGATGGGTCAGTCGGTAAAGCATTTCTCATGCAAGAGTAGAACCTGTGTCTGGATCCCCACCACTCACGTGAAAGCCAAGCCCCAGGCACATCTATAACCCTGGTCCTGTGAGGGAAGAGACAGGCGATACCTGAAACTCACTGGCCATCCAGCCTGACCAAATTCATGAGCTCCAAATTCAGTGAGAGCCCTTGCCTCAAAAACTAAGGTGCAGGCCCGGTGGCATGGTGGCACACTCCGGAGGCAGAAGCAGGTGGCTCTGAGTTCAGCGCCAGCCTAGTTTACATCGTGAGTTCCAGGAGTGTCAGGGCTACATAATAGAGAGACCCTGTCTCCAAAAAACAAAACAAAACATAAATTAAAAAAAACAAAACTAAGTTGTAGAACAATCGAGGAACACCCCCAATGTCAGTACACACATGCATACACCCGTGTACACACACAGCACAAACAAGAGGAAAGCACATTTCTAAAATGGATGTACTGGTGTGTCTACACAGTACCAAAAGTACGAGGAATAGCTCAGGAAAACGTTAACTCTTTGTTTTTCATAATTAAACCAGTCTTCTTCTACAAGAGCACAAAGCTATTGGTGTGCAGTGAAGTCACTAACACAGTCTGAGCCTGACTGTTTCGGGGAGCAGTCACTGGCAAAGGCCACACAAACCGCAGGCTGTGTGTTCAGAACCAAGGCTGCAGTGGGGTCGCATGCTGCAATACAGGCGAGCTCTGCCAGACTCGGAGGTGTTTATTTTGAATTAATCTGTGGTTATTGAACTTTCAGAGACCTTTGACTGTGGCCTGACTTTTCATAACCCTCAAGTTCAGTTATGTGTCCCCACCTCACGCCCACAGTTAAAAAAGCTTTGAGTTTTACCAGGTGGTGATGACACACATATTTAATCCCAGCACTCAGGAGGCAGAGACAGGCAGATCTCTGGGAGTTCGAGGCCAGCCTGGTCTACAGAGGGAGTTCCAGAACAGCCAGGGCTACACAGAGAAACCCTGTCTCCAAACAAACAACACAAAACCCTTGTGGTTTCTTGGTGACCCCAAGCTCAGTTCCCCACCCCACCTCCCAGCCATCCCCAGACCCTATGTGGTGGGTAACTGGCCCCCCGGGTCCTACAGGAAGAAGGCTGAGCGGGGAAAACTGTACTTCACGAACCTGCAGAGCAAGGAAAATGTACCCACCATGATCAACCCCAAACCGTGTGGCCACCTCTGCTGCTGTGTGGTTCGAGGCTGCGAGCAGGTACCGTGTGGGCTGCCTGTAGGTGCCCAGGGTGCCTGGCAAGGCTGGGGAGGATTGGTCAAGTCTCAGTAGACATGGATGGCCACGGGTAGACCCGACCCACCGCCCCAGGACAAACAGGTGTGGGGGACAGAAAGACCCAAAGGTGAACAGACTCCCAGAGGAAGAGGGCCTGGGCCCTACCCAGATAAGCCTCCCACTGCCTCTGGAGTCCATGGAGACCCGATTCTTTCTTTAAATAGTTATTTGTCCGGGGGAGGGTATACCGTGGTGCGTGTGTGCGGGTCAGAGAACAGTCTGCGAGAGTCCGTTCTCTACACCGTACGGATGCTGTGGCTCAGACTCTGGTCCTCAGGCTTGGCGAGGACCTTTGACTCACTGAACCGTCTTGCCGGCCCCTGAAGCCCCGCCCTCACTGTTGGGTTTATCCTGTTGGTGGTAACTTTTTTTTTTTAAAGAAGTATTTATTTACAGCGTATATAGTATGCCTGTACACCAGAAGGCGGCACCAGATCTCATGACAGATGGTAGTGAGCCATCACGTGGGTGCTGGGAACTGAACTCAGGACCTCTGGAAGAGCAGCCAGCACAACCACAAATTAGGCAAGCATAGCAGGTGTCGGGCTGTTGTTCAGTGCTGGCCTAGCACACACAGGCCATGGCTTTGATCCCCCGTACCACACAAATCAGGGGTGACACATGCCTGAGACCCCAACATTCAGGAGGTATAGGCAGGAGGGTCAGAAGTTCAGGGTCATACTCAGCTGCATAAGAGAGTTTGAGGCCAGCCTGGGAGACCATGAGACCCTGTTTTTTAAAAATAGTCAGCTGGGAAGCTAGTCAGTGTAATAGTGTGTACTATTGTACACACCTGTAACCCCACTGCTTGGGAGGTTGAGGCAGGAGGGTCTCCTGTTTAAGGCCAATCTTGACTGCATAGCAGTTTCCAAAAAGAAAAAGAAAAGGAAGGATGGAAAGAGGGAGGGAAACAAACTGTATTTTTAACAAGTTTCTTAATTGCCCCGTTCCTTGGTTTCCCCCTTAAGACTGGGTTCAGAGACGGCTCAGCGGTTAAGAGCACTGGCTGCTCTTCCAGAGGACCCGGGTTCAATTCCCAGCACCCACATGGCAGCTCACAACTGTCTGTAACCCTAGTTCTAGGGGATCCGACTCCCTCACACAGACATACATCCAGGCAAAACACCAAAGAACATTAAAAAAAAAAAAAAGGCTGGGTTCCTTGTGCCCACCTTGCAAGGTCAGAGCAAGGACAGAGCGACTCCAGACCTACCAGAAAGCCCCAGGGAGCATGGCGTGATGCTGGCTGACGCCGTGGGTGCCTCCCAGCGCTGACCAGAGCCCCTGACCCTCCTGCCTGTAGGTGGAGGCCATTGAGTACTACACAAAGCTGGAGCAGAGGCTGAAGGAAGACTACAGGCGGGAGAAAGAGAAGGTGAACGAGAAGCCACTTGGCATGGCCTTCGTCACCTTCCACAACGAGACCATCACAGCCATGTGAGTTGTCGGCGTGGTCACACACTCCCAGCCCCGCCTGCTGCCCCCGGCCCTCTCTCTGCCACAGGGCCCCGCACTCACCACTGTGGGCCCCAATCTCGGCTGCATTAACAAGTATCCATCCCCCCAGCATCCTAAAGGACTTCAACGTGTGTAAATGCCAGGGCTGTGCCTGCCGTGGGGAGCCGCGCGCCTCTTCCTGCAGCGAGGCCCTGCATATCTCCAACTGGACCGTGACCTATGCCCCTGACCCCCAGAACATCTACTGGTGAGCCGTAGCAGGTGGAATGGGGCTTCTTACGGACGGACAGACGGACGGACGGACAGAGGGGCTGTTTCCGGCAGGAATAGGAGGGGGAGGGGGTAGATGTTGCCCGACACCGATGAGTCCAGAGTCCTCAAAGTGACCCTCCCCCACCTTCCCAGGGAGCACCTCTCCATCCGAGGCTTCATCTGGTGGCTGCGCTGCCTCGTCATCAATGTGGTCCTCTTCATCCTGCTCTTCTTCCTCACCACCCCAGCCATCATCATCACCACCATGGACAAGTTCAACGTCACCAAGCCTGTGGAGTACCTCAATGTGAGGCCCGTGCCCACCCCGCCCTTTGTGATGTGCCATGCACATCCGTGCCAGGCAGCATCTCCCTCATCCCTACTGTGGTTCTGGTTCCGGTTCTCCTAGCCTTAGCCCCTCCAGGATGCTCCCACCGTACCTGCCCTTGGGTTCCACTACACCTGCCCTTAGGAGGGGCCACCCTTGGGTTTACACCTCCTGGATAAACCCCTCAGGAGGGCACATGACCTTGGGGAAGGCCCCTTTTCTCCTCTCTCTGAAAGCGGGGAGGTTTCGACTGGCCCCCTGGCATCTTTGTGTGCATTCAGAGCCTCTTGTCAGCGGGAAGCTGCTCAGAGGACAGTAGGGTACACCCGGGGCTGCCCGGCCTCTGCCGCCCCTCCCCCCCATGTACGGAGTACGCCTCCCTGAAACTCAGCCTCCCGCCATGTACAGAGTACGCCTCCCTGAAACTCAGCACTCCAAAGCTCAGTCGATAAGATGCAGGTCCTGGTCCTAACCCAATCCCCACTGGCTGGCCAAGCCATGGAGTCTCTTGTAGCCTAGGTTGGCTCGTTGGGAAAATGATGTAGTTTCATGGTCATGTGCCCAGGCGCCCGGCACAGTGTAGGTGGTTCAGCAGGTGCTCACCATCAATATTCACCCTGGAGTCGGTCCCAGGTCCTCCACCCTCACCCCAGCCATCCAAGTGCTCTGAACTTTCGGACCCACCCACCTGCCCTGGCTGACCCCCCTGTCCCCCCACAGAACCCCATCATCACTCAGTTCTTCCCCACACTACTGCTGTGGTGTTTCTCGGCCCTGCTTCCCACCATCGTCTACTACTCGGCCTTCTTCGAAGCACACTGGACACGGTGAGCTGCCCACACTCCACCAGCCCTGGGCCCTGTACCTTCGCCTAGGGGAGCCCCCACCACCCCGGGGAGCCTGCTGGGACATGGTCCCAGGATGAACTGGCCTGCCCTGACCTCGGCCCTTGCTCTGCCGCCTGCCTGCTCTCCTAGTTCCGGGGAGAACAGGACCACAATGCACAAGTGCTACACCTTCCTTATCTTCATGGTGCTGCTCCTGCCCTCGCTGGGGCTGAGCAGGTGAGTGCGGAGGAGCCCGCCGGGCGGGAGAGAGCGGGAACAGGGAGAGAGCTAGGGGAGAAGCCTGCCTGTCCCTGGGCTCCCCTGGAGGCTCCGGGGGACCCTCTGCCCCCCCCCCCCCGTTCTGCGCTCTTCCAGCTCCCGCCCTTCTCTCCTCCCTGCAGCCTAGACCTCTTCTTCCGCTGGCTCTTTGACAAGAAATTCCTGGCCGAGGCAGCTATTCGGTTTGAGTGAGTGACCAGAACCCTTGGGGAGAGAGACAAATGACGGGTGGATGTGGCTGAGACACCTCTAGCCTTTATAGGAGGGTGTCACCAAGCTTCCAGCCATATGGGGTGGGGTTCACATCACGATCTTCTAAAAGAAGGCACCGTAGGGTGTTGGGTATGTACTTGGATGGAGTGGGCACTTGATGGCTCATGCTCGGGAGTGCACCTGAATGGCTGAGTGATGCTCGAGGTAGATTTTAAGTCTTCGGAGCTCACATTTGGGGTGTCGTGTGGGGACTCCGGTTCCTATTCTAGGACTGCTGTGGGAGTCTTGGGTTTCACCCAGGAGGTCGGGGAGGTACCTGTACTAGGAACTTGGTCATAATCTGGGGGTGACTTGGGGACTCCTAGAGTATCCCTAAGGGTCACAAGAATACTGAGGTCTCTTAGGTTCACAACTCAAGAGTGGCCGGCTCTGGGCCACAAAGCTGAAGGTGCTTATGTAGCACAAGTTTTGTCTCTAAAGTATGTCACACTCACTCAGAGTGAGACTGTTTTGTCTCCGGGTGCATACGGTGGCTCTCGTAGGCTCAAACTCTAAGGACTTGCTGGAATCTTCTGTGACCATCTTGGACTTAGGGACTGTCTGGTTCTTGTCACCCCCCCCCCCACACACACACACACACACATCATAGACATCTGAGGGAGGGTTTCTGAAGCTGATGAGTGAGTCTGAGGCTCTCTCTATTGTGGGAATGCCAGTGTTGGAAAACTTTCTGGGTTTTCTGGGGCTCAAATCCTTGGAGATCTCTGAGGGTGCCATTGAGATTTTCTGTGGAGGTCTCAGCAGTTATATACTACACATACTGGTGGCCTTATGTGGTCTTGGATGTTTATGGGGTGGGTACATCATCGAGGTAGGTCTATGGACTGGTTTTCAGGGTGTGCATCTGGGCTTGCTTTCGTGCTTTGGGGTTCACGCTGCGGAAAAATTGGAGCACAGGTATTATGGGCCTAGGATGGGGGGGATGTGCACAGAGAGGGAGCAGCTGAGGGTGAGGGCGTGGTGTGCTGCCATGCGGGCAGTGGGCAGGCAGCCACCAGGTCACCCCAAGGGTGCAGTGCTGGAGCGCCTGCTGCCTGCAGGTGTGTGTTCCTGCCGGACAACGGCGCTTTCTTCGTGAACTACGTCATTGCCTCAGCCTTTATCGGTAACGCCATGGACCTGCTGCGTATCCCGGGCCTGCTCATGTACATGATCCGGCTCTGCCTGGCGCGCTCCGCCGCCGAAAGACGCAACGTGAAGCGGGTATGGCCGCCTAGGGCAGCGGCGACACGCACAGCGCCCTCTGGTGGCCCAACCAGAAACAGCAGCAGTCAGGCTCGGGGTGGTGGGCGCAAGGATGCTGGCTGGGACTTAAGGACTTTAGTTCCCTCGGAAGCCTCAGTTTCCCCACACATATAGCTATGGGTGGACATAGATGATCCCAGGACGTCCCTGAGTTCTGAGAGCGTAGTGTTATGTGCTTGGAGTTGGGAGAGGTCTAGCTCCCTTGGTCTAGGGTCCCTCTGCCCTCATTCCACAAGAGGGCGCTGGAGAGCTTGTCCCCTAGTCCTCCACTTTGGCCCTCCCTGCCCACGCCCTGTCACTGCCCCTGCCTGGCCTCCCCCTCAGCCACAGCCCCTGCCTCCCACCTGCTTTGCCATCCCCCGCACCACCCCACATTAGGCCCCTCACTCCCCGTGGCTTGATTCCCAGCCCCAGAGTTCCTGGCCGCCTCCTACCTGCCTTGTCCCCCCTGCAGCCTGTCCCCTCCACCCTGAGCCACCCTCCTGCCCATGTCCCCCCCAGCATCAGGCCTACGAGTTCCAGTTTGGCGCAGCCTACGCTTGGATGATGTGCGTCTTCACGGTGGTCATGACCTACAGTATCACCTGCCCCATCATCGTGCCCTTCGGTAGGCACCGCCGCGCCGGGACCTGGGCCCTGCTCGGGGGAACCCAGGGCCTCACCCGCTCCACTCTAGTAAGGCAGGCCACCCCAGCTGGACAGGGCCCCGGCTGGGAGACCGGCCCCTCCGGCCTCCCGCCTGGTTCCTGGCTCAGTCTGGGGCCAGGCCTTGGGGAAGAGGGGAGAGCAGTTGACTGAGGCTTGGCCCGCCTGGCATGCCCAGTCCCTGATCAGCATCCACCTCAGCAATAGTTACTGGCACCAAGGCCTTCCTTTGGTTATACGCGGACATACTTCCCTCCGAGTTGTAATACACACATACACACATTCCTGTTACCAACATCTACACTGATACACAGACCTCAAAATTCAAGAAAACCCCTTGGATTCCAGAGTGGGCTAGATCCTTGTACCTCGTGGACATGTCCTAATGCAGGCAAACCATGTGACTTGGGCAGGTCCCTCTTCCTCTTTGAAGGTGTTTAGCTAGGCTTCTCATTAACCATGATCCCACCAATAGCCTCTACCTTCCCCCATAGCATCCTAACGCCCTACCCACCCTCTGTCACTGTTGAAGGCCCCAGATTCTCAAATTAACCTCTTAGCCCTTGTCTAAAGCTCCCTCAGCTTCAGGAAGTAGAACCTGCCCTTAATCTATAGTCCACTGTTGAGGGACGGGGAGAATGAAGTGAGGTGGCTTTCAAAGGCTTCTTGGTCATCTAGACGAGTGGCGCTCTGATGGCTGCTGTGGGGGATGGGGAGGCTGCCCAGGATGGAGGGACTGGAGCGTGGGAAGCTGCAGCTCCAATCTGTGGCAGGTCAGGGAGCTGAGGGAAGGGGCAGGTCAGGAGCCGAGACCAGCCCTCCAGCCACCCCAGGCGGCCAGGACAGCCTGTGGCCGACACACAAGGCCCACGGGCGCTGGTTCCGAGGTCAGGGCCATTGGCTTTCCTCAGGACTCATGTACATGCTGCTGAAGCACCTGGTAGACAGGTACAATCTCTACTACGCCTACCTGCCGGCCAAGCTGGACAAGAAGATCCACTCGGGGGCTGTGAACCAGGTGGTGGCGGCGCCCATCCTCTGCCTCTTCTGGCTCCTCTTCTTCTCCACCATGCGCGCGGGTGAGGGCCACCACCCCATGGGGCGGGGGGACAAGGACAGAAGGGACCTTTGAAGACAGAACTCGCCACATAAGGCCCACGTGGTAGACAGTGGCGGGTCGCGGCTGGGAGAGAAGGAGTCGGAGGCTGTGGGCCCGAGGGACAGGCCTGGTGGCAGCTCCTTCCTTTGTCCCCCGACCCCAGGATTCCTGGCCCCCACGTCTATGTTCACCTTCGTTGTCCTGGTCATCACCATCGTCATCTGTCTCTGCCACGTCTGCTTCGGACACTTCAAATACCTCAGTGCCCACAACTACAAGGTGCGGGCCGGGAGCGGAGCGGGCAGAGTACGGCGGAGGGCAGAGGTCTTCTGTGGGGGTGGCGTGCAGGGTCAGAAGGTGCTGAGAGGGTGTTGGGGCGCGACTGGGGCGGAAGACAAGAATGTTTCCTCTCCTTCCCTGGACCCCTTAAGATTGAACACACAGAGACAGATGCCGTGAGCTCCAGAAGTAACGGACGGCCCCCCACTGCTGCCGCCGTGCCCAAATCTGCGGTGAGTGCCCTCCACAGCCATGGGTGCTGGGGGCGGGGGCCTTTGCAGAGACTCGGTCCCAAATCTGGGTGGGCCATTAGTCCTCCACCAAAGTCAGCCTAAACCAGACCTCATGGCGGTGGACACCGACGCGGGCGAGACCTGGGTCCACCCTCTCCACTCCATCCCCTAGGGCACCGTCCACTGTGCTCCCCACAGGCCCTCGGGTATCTGCCCCCACCTACCCACCCATCAGGGGCAGCTGCCCACCTCACCCCTCTTCCTTTTCCCTTCAGAAATACATCGCTCAGGTGCTGCAGGACTCAGAGGGGGACGGGGACGGGGACGGGGCTCCTGGGAGCTCAGGCGACGAGCCTCCGTCGTCCTCCTCCCAAGATGAGGAGTTGCTGATGCCGCCCGACGGCCTCACGGACACGGACTTCCAGTCATGCGAGGACAGCCTCATAGAGAATGAGATTCACCAGTAAGGGGAGGGAGGGGCCCTGGAGGCCACGCCCTGCCCCTGCACCCACCCCCCGACGGACACTAAAAAACAAAACGCTAATAATTTATTAGAACTAAAGCCCCCCCCTCCTCCTCCCCTGTCTCCTGCTTTCATTAAGGTATTTAAACCTGGGGATTTCACTGCTCTCCCCCACCATGGAGGGAGGGAGCCCCCCAACCTCAGTGAGGACAGCCCCGAGCAGGCCCCGGGGCAAAGAGGGGTGTGGAAGGGAGTCCCCGCCCAGATCACCCTCACCACCCAGTAGTGTGCCCAGGAAAGGGTTAATGAGAGCCAAGGTGGGTACCCGGTGCCGTGGCTGGAGGCCTGAGGAGACCGAGCACATCTGTAGCTGCCCCCCAGTTCTTTCCTCTCTTCCCCGCCCCTGGATCTGGGCCTCCAGGGACATGAACTGCAGCCCCCTGGGATGCAGGAGAAGAGAGGGAGGGGTAGAGTGGGAGGGAGGGTCAGGCCTGAGCCGGGGTGACCTGGAGGGGCGTGCCTGACACTGGAAAAGGGGGTTTTGCACTGGGTTTGTTTTTTGTTTTTGTTTTTGTTTTCCTTTAATAAAAACAAAAGCTCCAAGCTTGTGTCTGATTGGGCGCCAGCCCTGGAACCTCATCCTCTGCCCTCCCACGAGGCCCTATCTGCAGGCCCCTGGAATGGGCCCCCGCTTTATTAAAGAGGGGCCCTCCATCAGGAAGAGCCTCGGGGCTCAGGTCACCTCACACCAGCCCTATGCTCTGAGCACCCCAAGAATTACTAAGAGACAAAGGTCTTAAGAGAAAAATTGCAAAAGCTCATTGCTCCAAGTGGGCCCAGGAAGAGGGCAGGGCCCTCTCCAGCACCTCAGGGTGGCCTGCCTGAGCCCCACATGTCCCCAGGATGCCCTATCCTCTAGTCGTCTTTTCTCAAGACCCCAAACTCACCTTCTCTAAGAGCTTTCTTTAGGCCACTCAGCAAGGACACAGCCATATATACCCACAATGCATTGTGTGCAGCAAGAGCCAGAGAGCCTCTGTCCCTGGCTGGTTCCGTCACCAGGTGGCTGTGTGTCTCTGAGAAAGCCTACACCCATCTCTGGCCTTGTTTCCTCAGTCAAATCAAGATGTATGACCAGATAACCTCTAAAGCCAACCTCAGACGCCATTCTCCAGCCTCTGCCCACCACTGGCTGGAGTTTTCTATCCTGTTTGCTTGCTTGCTTGTTGGTTTTTACAGAGACAGGGTTTCTCTGTGTAGCCTGGGCTGTAGACCAGGCTGGCCTTGAACTCAGATCCATGTGCCTCTGCCTCCCGAGTGCTGGCGTGAAAGGTGTGTGCCACCACTGCCTGGTGAATTTTCCATCCTTCAACAGAACATGAGAAAGTGAGTTGAGGATTGCCCAGAGAGAAGAGGTCAGGAGAGGAAGAAAAAGCAGGCACCAGAGAGCCTGCAGAGGCAGGAGGGAAGCAGAGCACAAAGACCCTGATGAAAACCGCGTCACAGGGAACAGGAGCTAGGCTCCTCCCAGCAGTGGTGATGCCACCCGGACCACAAATCCCCACACAGAGCCAGTGCTCATGGCAACTGACCATGGGTGCAGAACCTGGCCAGTTACCATGACGAAAGGACTGGCCTTGGCCCTGTCTCAACCTTCACATAAAACTCAGGTCTGCAGCCTTCATGAAGTAAAAACTCCCAGGTGGAGTCCCTCAGAGTGCTGAAACAGGAACAGTTGCCAGGCCAAGGCCTGCAGCCAGGGTGCCGGCTACTAGACAGAAACTGAGGAGACTGAAGCAAGCACCTTGGTTACAGAAGGTTACAGCACTCCTAAGCGTAGTCTGCATGGGTGAGCAGGCGCACCGCATCTTCCCTGGAAAATCCTATTGTCTGCCACTGTGTCCTGGACAGACGTTAGCCCTGACCTCGCTTGCTCGCTCACCTGTTGTAGCATGCCTCCCTGCCCTGAGTTGGGGGGTGGGAATGCAGTTCTCTTGGTTCTACTATGGGGAGTCTCCTCATGGGCCTCAAGTTCTAAGCCAACTCCAAATGCTTAGGGATGAGAAATGAGGTAAGACTCAAAACCGTTCACAACAAGGGTGCTGAGGAGAGTCCCTCCCCGGGGTGGAAGGCTGCAGTGGAGAAGGCCCAAGCCTGCCTGCTCCTGGCTCCTGGCATCAGAACTCGGGTCATCGGGAAGAACCAACAGTATTTGGCAAACAGTGCTTAACTCTGGTCTGGGTCCTTCAAAGACCCCAAGTTTCTCCATGACCTCTTAGTATCCTGCTGGCTGCAGGTATGGGAAGCAGGAGGGGAGGGCCCTGTCCCCTCCTAACGGATGATAGGTAAGGGCTGAGGCCTTAGGCTCAAACCCTGGCTCAGCCCTTTACCTGCAGAGTGACCCTGAGCAAACAGTATCACACCCCTGGACCTCACCTATGAAATGGAGTAGCAGCTCGCATGTGCTCAGTTGGTGGCGTGCTTGCCTAGCATTCGCAAAGATGGATTCCATCCCCCGCAAGGCGTGAACTAGGTGTGGTGAGCACACCTGTGACCCCAGCACTCGGGAAGCAGAGGCCCTCAAGATCAGAAGGACAGGGGTCCAGGAGATGGCCCAGCAGGTAGAGAGCACTTGCCGTCCTGACCTGAGTTCGAGCCCCGGAAGCCACAGTGGAAGGGAAGAGGAGGCTGTCAAAAGCTGTCCTCTGATAGCCACACGCACGTGGCATACAGAGGCGGCGGAAGCAGGGCCGGTAGCACAAGTCCACAGTCTCAGCACCTGGGAGGTAGAGACAAGGGGGACCCAGGGTTCAAGGCCTTCGCTATGAAGCAAGTTTGAAGCTAGCCTGGGCTACATATCTCTAAAAAAAAAAATGTGAGGGAAGTAAGACGTGAGGACATGAGGTCGTGACTCTTTTGTAAATGAGAAGCTTTTCAGGGTTAAATGTGCAGGCTGAGGGGGTAGGAACAACCGTCCAGAAACCTTAGACTGACGGGGAGGGACTCGCCCCAGTAGGGACAGGCCTTGGCCCTGGCAGATCAGAAGGGCCAAGTGAGGAGGAGGGAACAACGGAGGCAGCCATTAGACCCCTGACTGCAGACTCCCCCTGCATTGGAGAGTTCTGGGTGGGGGAGGGGCGGTCTCTGCCCCCCTCCCCCCCCAAGAACCTTCAACTGTCAAGCCCTGTGCTAGGTCCTGCTTGCACTAGGAGTTCACCTGATAGCCCTCGGCATGCTGTACTCCCCAGGTAGGCACCCACGGGGCCGGCCCCTTCTATATACTAGGACGTTCCTACAGAAATGCGAGCTGTGTTCCCTGAGACCTCAGACAGGGTACAGCCGGACCTCTCTCAGGCTGGATGCTCTGAGGGTAAAAGCTGGGCTTCCTTCTCGTGGGTAGAGAGATGTCTGATACCCCTCAGTCACGGCTGTCTGCAAAAGGGTTTGTGTAAGGGGCCCCCATCGGCCATTAGAGATACGGTAAGCCAGAGGGAACAGAGGAAATCTCCCAAGCCTAGAAAAGTGGCCTCCTTAGTCCAGAGACCTGAGGTCCTAAGACACAGCAGAAGCAAGCTGCTCGGATGAAGCCTGAGCTCTCCCCTCAGATCCAGGGCGCGCTGGGAAGGAGAGGCTGAGAAGCTGGTCCTTTGGGTAATCAATCCAGCTTCAGCAGCAGCAGAGGCCTGAGGCTCAGCTCTGGCCCTCCCCCTCGGCCTGTGAGAGGGGAGAGAGCTGGATTCGTATGAGGACAAAGGCCCCTAGACTCTGCCTCCCAGCTTCTGTGACAGGCTAGTGACCTGCCTCCTGGATGTTTAGGCTTGAAGGAGACCCCAAACCCCTAGAGTTTTCTGAAGCAGTATCTCAGTTTCCTCCAAGCTCTGGAGAGCAAACTATCCATAAAACTATGGGTTCCCTGATTATAATGTAATGGTTTCAAAAATCCCTGGGAGTGGGCCCGAGAGGGGCTCCGGGGTTAAGAGCCTAAACTGCTCTTGCCTAAGACCCAAGTTCAGTTCCCAGTGCTCGTGTGGAGTGACTAACAACCACCTGGCTCACAGAAGATCCAACACCCTCTGTGGGCATTTGCATTTATGTACACGTACACATAATTAATATTTTTTAATCACTGACAGCAGCGGTTGGGATGTAACTAAGGTAGTAGAATGCTCTAATGCATGAAACCCTGAGTTCCATCCCCTTAAAACCATAAAACTGGATGTGAAGACACAGACCTGTCATCTGAACACGCAGGAGGTAGAAGTGGGGGGATCTGGAGTTTAAGGTCTCCTCAGCTACATGGGGAGTCTGAAGCCAGCCTGGGTCTATATGAGACCCTGTCTTAAAAAAAAAAAAATAGTATTCATATTCAGTGTTCTTACCACAACAAAAAGTGTGTGAGATAGTGTATCATATGTTAATTAGCTCAACCAAGGCATTCCAAATAAACAGATTTGGGGGTTGAGAGGCATTATTCTTGGTTTTTTGTTTCAGAGACTGAGTTTTACTATGTGGCTTAGGTCTCAAAAACAGGATCCTTGCCAGTAAGGTGGCTTATTAGGTAAAGGTGCTTGCCACAAAGCCTGATGACCCGAGTTCAATCCCCAAGATCCACAAGGTGCAAGGAGAGAGCCTACAGCTTGTTCTCTGACCTCCAGATATATGTGGTCTGGTACATGTATGCTCACATAAAAAAAAATAAATAAGTAAATAGATATAATCAGCAGGATCCTCCTGCCTCAACCTCACAAATGCCAGGTTACAGTAATGTGCTACCACATTCTTCTTAGATTTAATTTTTCAAAAATCTACAGGTCCCTAGTCTGATGTGGGTTGCACCCCACCTTGACTTTTAGTCTGATGGAGGAGGCAGTTTCCTATTTTTCAATACAGGTTTTCTCTGTGTAGCCCTGGCTGTCCTGGAACTTGGTCTGTAGACCAGGCTGGCCTTGACTCAGAGATCCGCCTGCCTGTGCCTCCCGAGTGCTGGGATTAAAGGTGTGACCCTCCACTGCCCAGCATGGTCATGTCTCTTAAGATCTCCCATAGTTATCTGTCTGAGCTTCTGCCTGCCTCATCTGTCTGTCTGTCTGTCCCACCTTGCCCCCCTCCCACCAACCCATGTATTGCATGAACCTTTCAAGTTCATGACGTCACCGAACACCTACGCGCCCCAGATAAGACCCCAACAAGAGGCCAGAGTCTAACCTGGGCTTGTTTCCAGTGCACTGGTGAGAAGTTACTCACAGGGGCATCTCTGGAGAGTCTCACCCTAGCGCGGATGACAACTTCCTGGTGGCTACACAGACCAGCCTCCCTTTAACTAACTTTCCATGTTTACACACTCTGGTACTTCCCAAGACCACATGCCATTGGCACAGAATTTCAATCAGCTGGCTAGGATGTGCAAGAGGGAGTGGCCGGGACCTCGGTGAGGATCCAGCGGCCCTGGGAGACCCTTTCCTCCATGAGGAAATGTCTACAGGCGCCACCTTGAGAGCCCACTGCCAGCGGCCACAGCTACTCTGATGGGGATGACAATGGTTGCTGTACTTGGACACAGGGCCCCACAGCACCATGGCAAAGGACCTGGGGCAGCTGCCTTCTCTAGAGACGCTTGCCACAGCAATGGTAGTGGGAGCCAGGTAGAGCGTATGACTCCCCGCTGTCCACACTAAGTAACAAGCTCAGACACGGGGGACTTTCATGGGGATTCTAACCGTTGCTGTCAGTATGATAAGAAATGACTCTGGGGGGCTGGAGAGATGGCTCAGAGGTTAAGAGCACTGGCTGCTCTTCCAGAGGACCTGAGTTCAATTCCCAGCAACCACATGGTGGCTCACAACCATCTACAGTGACATCTGGTGCCACTTCTGGCCTGCAGGCTGAACACTCACTGTATACATAATAAATAAATAAATCTTTAAAAAAGAAAGGAAGGAAGGAAAAGAAAGAAAGAAAGAAAGGAAGGAAGAAAGAAAGAAAAAGGAAGGAAGGAAGGAAGAGAAAGAAAAAGAAACGACTCTGAGCTGGGCAATGATCCTGGACGGAGCCCCCAGGGAAATAGAGAGGTAAAGCCGCACCTTCTCTGGGCTGGGCTGCCCCTGATGATGTTCCAGTCCTCTCGGATGCCAGCCCCTTCTGTGTCCCCTTCTGTGACCCTCCGAGACCTCCAGCAGAGGCTGACCCCCCTCAGTCCCAGGGCAGCCATGGCAGAGGCCTCCCAGGGTGGCCCGAGTGCAAGGCACCAAGGGGCTCACTTCCCTGTGTGGATGGCCTGAGTCTGCCCCAGATTCCACAGCCTCTGCAGAGCCACTGACGTCCCAGGCTGAGTGACCGTTTGTCCACATGGAGGCAATGCTGTCCCAAGCATGGTAAAGCAGTCAGCTCATGTGGGCTCCGTCCACTACACGCCAACAGCTACCACCTCGGTTGTGGTGGCAACCAAAAGCCTCTCTAGACATGGCCAAGAGACCTTAGGCTAGGTGAGGCAGTCTCCCTTGCTGAGAACTTCTGTCCATCCCTCCCTCCCTCCCTCCCTCCCTTCCTTTTTCCCTCTCCCCGGTCTTCCTCCTCTTCCTTTCTTTCTCTCTTTATCTCTTTCTTTCTTTTTCTTTTTTTCTTCCTCTCTCCCTTTTTTCCTTTTTTCCAGACATGGTCTCACTATGTAGCCCTGGCCCGGAATTTGTTATGTAGATCATCAGATTTGAACTCACAAAGATCCACCTGCCTCTGCCTCCCAAGCCCTATATTTTTGTTGTTGTTATTTTGTTATTAAATATGCACGGATGCTTTGTATGCATGGACATCTGTGCATCATGTGAGTTCCTGGTGCCTTCAGAGGCCAGAAGAGAGAATCAGATCCCCTGGAACATCAAGCTGCAGATGACTGTGAGCTATCATGTGGGTGCTGGGAATTGAACCTGAATTCGCTGGAAGAGCAGCCCCTGATTTTTTATTTTAAATTATGTGTCTATGTGTGGGTATGTGCACATGGGTGCAGGTACCCAGGAAGGGCAGAAGTGGGCTTCAGGACCTCCGAAACGGAAGTTGCGGGTGATTTATAAGCTCCCGTGTGGGTCTGGGAACCAAGGCCGGGTCCTCGGAAGGCCAGCAAGCACTCGGAACTACCCAGCCATCTCTCCAGTGCCCGAGTCTCATTTTCTGAGACACCTCTGCCAAACAATGCTCTCCAAAGGGGCCCCGTGGCTTCCGGTCTCCCTGGCCGTGCTCGGGGGCCCCAGTCTTCACCTTGCTCACTGTGCCTTATCATCATCCCTCCCGTCGCCTGTGAGTAGGATGGATGGGGCGGTGCTTGGTGTTCTTGACCTTCTGAAAAATGTCCAGGCCATTTCTGTTTGTTTTCTGGGGCGAGGTGTCATTTAGCCAAGGCTCTCTGCATGCATGATGCTTGCACTGTGTTTGGTCCTGGAGAGACGACTCCACAGTCAGGAGCATTCGCTGCACAGTAGTGGGGACCAGAGTTTGGATCCCAACATCCCCGTGAGAAGCCAGTCACTTGGCAAATGTCTGTAACCCTAGCTCCAGGGTTCTGACACCTTCCGCTCCCCCAACACACGCAAACACAGACAGGTGCACATATAAATAAAATAAATTCTTTAGATTTATGGGGCTGGAGAGATGGCTCAGCAATTAAGAGCACTGGCTGCTCTTCCAGAGGTCCTGAGTTCAGTTCCCAGCACCCACATTCAGTAGCTCACAACCATCACCTACTCCAGTCCCAGGGGATCTGGTGTCCTCCTCCGGCCTTGGTGGACACTGCATACACCTGCCCAGACATATATGCAGGTATGACACCCATACACATTTTTTTAATTAAATAAGGCTGGTCATGGTGGTACACACCTTTAATTCCAGAACTTGGGAGGCAGAGGCAAGAAGATTTCTGTGAGTCTGAGGTCAGCTTGGTCTACACAGTGAGTTCCAAGCTAGCCAGCACTACATAGTAAGACCCCATAGATAGATAGATAGATAGATAGATAGATAGATAGATAGATAGATAGAATAAATGAGTATTTAAAATAAATGGGGCCAGGTGGTGGGGGCACATGTTTTTAATCCCAGCATTTGAGAGGCAGAGGCAGGCGGATCTCTCTGAGTTCGAGGCCAGCCTGGTCTACAGAGTGAGTTCTAGGACAGCCAGGGCTACAAAGAGAAACCCTGTCTGGGGGAGGGGGGAGAGGGAGGGTAGGAGGCAATTCAATGGCACCAGCTGCTCTTGCACAAGATCTGGGTTTGAATCCCAGCACCCACATGGTGGCTCACAGCCATCTATAACTCCAATTCCAGGGGATCTGATCCCCCTTCTGACCTCTGTGAGCATGTGGTGCACAGACATACACTCAGGCACACACACAAATACACACAAAAGTGAATAAGTACTGTCTTAGTCAGGGTTTCTATTGCTGCAACAAAACACCATGACCGAAAAGCCAGTGGGGGAGGAGAAGGGTTTGTTGGGCTCACACTCCCACATTGCTGTTCATCACTGAAGGACGTCAGGACAGGAACTCACACAGGGCAGGACCCCGGAGGCAGGCGCTGATGCAGAGGCCATGGAGGGAACTGCTTACCGGCTTGCTTCCCCTGGCTTGCTCAGCCTGCTTTCTTATAGCACCAAGGACCACCAGCCCAGGGATGGCACCACCCCCTGAGGACTGGGACCTCCCCCATGGGTCACAAATGGAGAAAATGCCTTACAACTCCGTCCTCTCTGATGGCTCTACCTTGTGTCAAGTTGACACACAAAAGCAGCCAGGACAGTATGAAAAACTAAAAACCTCTGTGGCTGACGAGGATCGGCTTCTGACACCCCTCCCAAACACCTGCTGCTGCCACCCGCCCGGCTTCAGTACCCTTTTAGATTTTTGGTTGTGAGCCTAGCCTTTAACGGCTGAGCCATCTCTCCAGCCCTTCAGTGCCGTTTTAAATCGGGTTACTTGGTTTTTTTTTTTTTTGGTTTTTTTTTTTTCTTCTTTACCGAACAGAGCCCATTTTTAATGAGAATGGAATGGTGGCCTTCATAAACAGTAACAGGCTCAAGGCCAAGGGCGTGGGCCAACACCAAAACGCCCGCAACTACAAGAACCAGAACTTTGAGGAAATTCGAGCAGCGTGTCTAAGGAAGGGGGAACTGTTTGAGGACCCCTTCTTCCCTGCTGAGCCCAAGTCTTTAGGCTTCAAGGACCTGGGCCCCAGCTCCAAACAGGTTCAGAACATCTACTGGCAGCGACCCAAGGTGGGCACTGGGAACGGGGAGGGCCCGGTGCCCTCAGAGCTGGGGTGGTTCCGAACATGCTCCCGTCAAACCTCCTCGTTTAACCCTGGGCTGGCACCCGAGCCTGGCTATCGTAGCCAAGCCGTGGTCAAATGGATCCGGGTTCCCCCTACTGCTCACCTAGAGCTCAGAGGAGCGCGGGAGGGCGGATGGGGCCCTCCACCCCTCGACAGACACCGATGACGCTCTTGTTCCTTCACCACAGGATATCACGCATAACCCCCAGTTCATTACGGATGACTTCTCCCCCACAGACATCTGCCAAGGGGTCCTCGGTGAGTGGGGAACCACGAGCTGGCCTCCATGGGGAGAGCGGGGAGAAAAGGATTAGGATGGGGGGCTACAGCGTGGTTCTCAAACCTGGAAGCCTGGGGCTCCCTAGGCTCCACCCACCTCTGTTTCCCTGTCCCTCCCCTTCCAAGAGATGACCTTCCGTAGGAGGGTCACGTGTGTCCTCTGTGTCCCTTCCGTATCTGCTGCAGTCTGGTTTGGGAGTAAGTTGGGGTGGTATAGCAGATATTTTTTGCTGCCTAATGTATTACCCAAGGCTTAGCAGTCGGAGGCGGGTGGAGAGATGGCCCACAGTTAAGGGCACTTGCTACAAAACAATGAAGACCAGAGTGCCAAGTCCATCATCCAAAATACCCGAAGCTCCAGCTCCAAGGAATCCAGCGCCCCCTGCTGGCCTGCATGTGCACAGGCGCGCCCCCGGCTGGCCTGCATGTGCACAGGCATGTGCCTGCTCCCGCCCCCAGGCCACCACATGTGCACTCTCAGACAGACACACACAGACAAAATAAATCTTTTTTTTTTTTTTTTTTAAGTTTCAAACCAGGCATGATGGTACCTACCTAGGGAAAAAGGGGTAAAAAGGTCAGGAGTTCGAGGCCAACCTGGGGCCACATGAGACTGTCTCCAACAACCAGCAAGCATTTCTCACCTCACAGGCTCTGTTGGGGAACCTCAGAAGCAGAGGTGTGGGGCTGGCTCAGAGTACCTCCTGAGACTACTGCTGTGGTCAGCTGCCCTGTGGGGCCTGGTCCTCCGAAGACCCGGCTGGGTCCAGGGCTGCACTGTTGAGATACCGCTGCACATGGATGAGGTCTCAGTGTCTCATTGGCTATTGACAGGAGACTATGCCCCTTCCCAGAAGCTCATCTACGGGGCTGCTTGAGTGTCCACACAGCATGGTAGCTGGCTCCCACTGAGTAGCCCAAGAAAAAAACAAACGGAAAGCCCCAGGGGCTTTTTTTTATTATTATTTATTTGCTTGTTTTTATTTATTTATCGAGACAAGGTCTCACTATGTAGCCTTAGCTGGCAGAAAAGTATGTAGACCAGGCTGGCCTTGAACTCATAGAGATCCATCTGCCTCTGTCTCCCATGTGCTGGAATTAAAGGTCTATGCCACCATAGCTGGCTCATTTATTTATTTTTTTACTTAGCATGAAACCCAGGGCCTTCAGCTAGGCAAGCATTTCACCACTGAACTATAACATGCCCTGTCCCCGGCCCACCTGATCCTCAGGTACACACACACACACACACACACACACACACACACACACACACACAGTAATGTCCACCATGTTTTGTTAGGAACAAGCCCTGAATGTGACCCATACTCAAGAGGCAAAGGATTATGGGGCTGGGTGTAGCTCAGTTGACAGATTATTTGGCTAGCATGCATGAATCCCTTAGTCTAATCCTTAGCGTCACATAAAACTGGGTATGGTGGCGTGTACCTATAATCCCACAATCTAGAAGAGGCAAAAGGATTATTCACAAGTTCAAGGCCAGCCTGGTCTACAAAGTGAATTCCAGGTTAGCCAAGAGCCTAGAGACCTTGCCCCCCGCCCTGCAAAAAAAAAATAGTATGGGCAACTTAAGGTCATCCCCAGCTATACAATGAGTTCAGGGCTAGCCTGGGCTATAGGAGACCCTGTCTTTAAACAAACAAACAAACAAACAAACAAACAAACAAAAAACCCCTGGGAATTGGGCCCTATCTTTGAGGAGACAAAACTCAAGTGTTTGTCATCTGTCCCAGATGGTAGGACTTCTTTAGTCTGGGCCATCAAATAATGGAGCAATGGAGTCACATGACCCTGCCCCAGGTTATCTCCTCGCCCCTAGCTGGCCCTGGCTCATAATCTCTTCCCACCCCGTCAGTGCCAGGGCAGGCATCAGGACCGCTTTATTTTCTATTTGTGGCAGGGGAAAGGGCAGAAATAAGTCTAGCAAGAGGCCAAGGAACACAGTGGCCTCCGTGGCTCAGTGGCCCGAGGGATGCTGGGTACAGGAGGAGGAAATGAGGGTTGTGCCCTTGTACTGATGATGACTGCAGCTGCCCTCCAGAGCCCAGAGGCCACTAGTCATCACAAAAACTCTCTAGTGCATGAAAGCTTGGCCAGACCCTGGAGGCCACACAGCAACCCCCATTACCTGGCCTCTCACTGAGAGCTGACCCTGGGGGACATAACAGTGGATGACTGAGGCATGGCACTGTGCTCCCATCTTCAGCTAGCTCCAGGGCTCACAGTGGGATAGAGTCAGAGCTCATCATCTCCAGTAGAATGTGGGTGATGGGACAGACATCTTTCCATTTTCAGATTTAAAACACTTTTTAAATTATTAATGTGTGTGTGTGTGTGTGTGTGTGTGTGTGTGTGTGTGTGTGTGTATCAGAGTATGAACACATATGTGTCTGGTGCCCTCAGAGGCCAGAAAAGGGCATCCAATCCCTTGGAGCTGGAATTACAGGCGTTTGTGAGATATCTGATGTGGGGGCTGGGACCTGAACTCTGGCCCTCATGGTAGAGCAACAAGTGCTCTTAACTCCTGAGTCGTCTCTCCAGTCCCACGACATCTTTTTTTTTTTTTTTTTGGTTGATTGAATGGGTTTTTTGTTTTCTTTTTGCAATTTTTCTTTTTAATTTTCATATATGTGTTTCTGTATATGGGTTTGTGCATGTGAGTGCAGTGGCTATAGAGGCCAGAAGAGGGCGCTGTCAGATTCCCTGGAGCTAGAGTGACAGGTGGTTGCAAACTATCTGATGTGGATCCCAGCCTGAACTCAAGTCCTCTGAAAAGCAGGACGTACTCTTCACTGCTGAGCCATCTCTCCAGCTCTTGATTGGTTTTTTTGAGACCAGGTCTCACTTTGTAGACCAGGTTGGTGACAAATGAACATCCTTTTAGCCGTCACCACCCAAATGCTGAGCTCACAGAAGTTTTCTAGAGAGACATCTTGGGCCTTTGGCCGCTACTCCAGCACATTCACAGGGTGGAACGAGACTCACGGAGAAGGGTTACTGGATATGTGCAACAGGTGGGGACTCTTCCTGAGAGAGAGCAGGATGCTATGCAGTCTGCCCAAATTCCCCCAAACCAAGGTGTGTTACCCCGATTTGTGACTCCCTTGACTGGACAAATTCATGAGCTCACTGTCTGAGCTCTGCCTCAGTTTTCCCATTTGGCTCTTTTCCCAACTTCTCAGTGAAAAGGCAGAGGGAGCCGGGTGGTGGTGGCACACGCCTTTAATCCCAGCACTCGGGAGGCAGAGGTAGGCGGATCTCTGTGAGTTCGAGGCTACAGAGTGAGTTCCAGCCTGGGCTACAGAGTGAGTTCCAGGACAGGCTCCAAAGCTACACAGAGAAACCCTGTCTCAAAAAACCAAAACAAACCAAAACAAAACCAAACAAAACAAAGAAAAGACAGAGGGATCTTTTCTGGGGAGACCTGTAGGGCTGCTCCTCTGACTGGGGATCTGGGGTCTCCACACATGTGGGGCTGCTCAAGGAGCAATATCTGCCTGCCTGCCTTTAAGGGGACTGCTGGTTGCTGGCCGCTATTGGCGCCCTTACCACGTACCCCAAACTGCTGTACCGTGTGGTGCCCAAGGGCCAGAACTTCAAGAAAAACTATGCTGGCATCTTCCATTTTCAGGTGAAGGGAAGCGGGGAGGAGAAAGGGAAAAGGGGAGGAGGGAGGGAGGGGAGGGAGGGAGGGAGAGAGAGAGACTGAGTCACCATTCTATTGCTGTGAAAAGGCACCATAGCCATGCTAACTCTTATAAAGGAGAGCATTTAAGTAGGGGCTGGCTTACAGTTTTCGAGGTCAGTCCATTACCATCACGGCAGGGATCGTGACAGCATGTAGGCAGATATGGTCCTGAAGATGTGGCTGAGAGACATGTCCTGGTCCAAGGCAGCAGGAAGTGAGGACTTCTGGGCCTGGCTTGGGCTTTGCAACCTCCAAGCCCACCCCCAGTGACACACTTCCTCCGGCAAGGCCACACCTCCTAACCCTTGTGAAATAGTTGCACTCCCTGGTGGCTGACATCCAAATACATGAGCCTATGGGGGCCAATCTTATTCAAACCACCAGAGAGAGAAAGACCATGTACGCACTTACTTTGTTTTTCAAATACAACACCGATTGGGGTGACTTTTCAACTAATCTTCAGAGAAATACCTGCTTATGAAAGAAACCATGTAAGCTAATTTTTTTAAAGTTCCGACGAAAATAATTAGCGGCTTGTGCCTCCCTTCCAATTCTCACTGTGACTGTGTGTCCGTGTCCACGTCTGTGTGTTCACATGCACGTGCTCCTGCCCAGGAACACGTTACATAGGTATCATGACACTGAAAATCTCCACCATATAATTTATATGACCCTTGAACTGATACAGGAACAGTTCTGAGTGTCATAAAACAGGAAGAGGATTTTAAGATCTGAAAGCTCAGCCTTCAGCTACCTTTTATTTCTCAGGATAAAGCCTCAGTCTAAAGGTGGGTGGGGTCTTCTTTCTTTCTTCTTTTTCAATGATTTATTTATTTTTATTTCATGTGCGGTAGTGTTTTATGTGTATGTACATCTATGTGAGGGTGTCCAATCCCCTGAAGCTGGAGTTGCAGACAGTTGTGAGCTTCCATGTGGGTGCTGGGAATTGAACCTTGGTCCTTCGGAAGAACACCAGTACTCTTAACCACTGAGCCAAATCTCCAGCCCCATGGGTAGGGTTTTCTTGACGCTGGGGCAGGACCCAGGTTTAAGGGTGGAGGTGGGGGAATAAAGCGAGATTTTTAGGGCTTTTGTGGACTTTCTCTTACATATTCTAAGGAGTGACTGGACCTTGGTCAAGGTGGCTCAGGGGATAAGTGCACTTATCCCAAGCCTGATGGTGATGGATGGCCTGAGTTTGATTCTTGAAACTCACATAGTGGAAGGAGAGAAATCACACACACACACACACACACACACACACACACACACACACACACACACACACATTTTACAAAAATCCCCGTATGAGTGACTATTGCTAGTATGTTCTTGACTTGGCCACCAGGCGGCGCTCTGAGGACAGCGTTCACCAGTGTGCAGACAAATGTCCCTTTGCCACCCCACAGCTTTGGCAGTTCGGGCAGTGGACGAACGTGGTGGTGGACGACCGACTGCCCACCAGGAATAACAAGCTGGTGTTCGTGCACGGCTCCCAGCGCCAGGAATTCTGGAGCGCCCTCCTGGAGAAGGCCTATGCCAAGTAAGTGGTCCAGACCAGGAGCCAGGACTGGCCTTCAGGAGCCTGGGCTCGGCCGCCGAGGACCTTGGGCCACTCACTGAGCCAGGGGAGGAGACAGGGCACGATCAGGCATGTCTCTCTTCCCTCACCATTCTTCCCGACGGCTCCCTCCAAAGCACATCTGCAGCCCGGGGCTCAACAGCGCCCTGTCTGCCTGCAGGCTGAACGGATCCTACGAAGCGCTGGCGGGAGGAAGCACCATAGAGGGTTTCGAGGACTTCACCGGCGGCGTGGCCCAGAGCATTCGGCTCCGTCAGCCCCCTCACAACATGCTAAGGCTCCTCAGGAAAGCCCTGGAGAAGTCTTCCCTTATGGGCTGTTCCATCGAAGTAAGCCAGGCTGGGTCAATAAGCACCCGACAGATATTTATTCAAATAAATAACTGTACCCAGAATGCTTCCATCCACCAGCAGTTACATGGGGGGAGAGAGTTACTGAAAAGGAGGAGGAGGAGGAGAGGAAGAAGGGCTAGTCCCCACAAAGCCTGCCCACTAATGCTTGCGGCAACTCTACTCACAACAGTGAAAACAGCGATCTAGTTGTCCTTCTGCAGGCGAGTCACAACAGTCGTCTGGTTTAAAAAACTGATTGTTGGGACCGGAGAGATGGCTCAGCGATTAGAGCACTGACTGCTCTTCCAGAGGTCCC